GGTGGTGGGACTACTTGATCCAGGAGTTTGGGACTCGTTCTCTTCCAAATCTTCTTAATGACTGCTCTTAGTTCTGCATTCGCATCATCAATATTTCCTTCTGTCTTGATTCGTAAAGATGTCCGAACAACAGCAAATAATGTTGCATTGAATAAAACAGTCCCATCACTATTCAATGGCATATTCATTGATACCAACCTCTGCAATGACAAAATCATTTTATGTTAATTTTAATAATTATTTGCATAATCTACAGGGTGATTCAAAAGTTAGGGCCAAACTGAAGGGACTCAGAGAGAACAACTTTCGAATAGGAATCCATGTCCTCTGACGTTATCCTGAGTCAGTCGAGGTCATTGAAAGTAGGGAAGTCTGATAACATACCGCTGAAATAATTACACTTTGCTATTCTCCTACTAGCTTAAGTTTGTTTTTTTATTAATGTACAAGGATTACATTAACAATCTTACAAACCAAATTACTTCAGCGGTATGTTATCAGACTTCCCTACTTTCAATGACCTCGACTGACTCAGGATAACGTCAGAGGACATGGATTCCTATTCGAAAGTTGTTCTCTCTGAGTCCCTTCAGTTTGGCCCTAACTTTTGAATCACCCTGTAGATTATGCAAATAATTATTAAAATTAACATAAAATGATTTTGTCATTGCAGAGGTTGGTATCAATGAATATGCCATTGAATAGTGATGGGACTGTTTTATTCAATGCAACATTATTTGCTGTTGTTCGGACATCTTTACGAATCAAGACAGAAGGAAATATTGATGATGCGAATGCAGAACTAAGAGCAGTCATTAAGAAGATTTGGAAGAGAACGAGTCCCAAACTCCTGGATCAAGTAGTCCCACCACCTGGAGGTTTGTATTTATTCTTATATGTGGTCCCAGTGTCAACATTATCCTAACATGTCGATGTTCTACGTTTTGATTCCGTGTGTTTCGGAGGACCTGAAATTCCGCATGTTCTCAACATAATTTAAGTAGATGGTAATGTCAATAAAACAGTCATTTAACAAGAAAAATTTTCAATTCTGCTTGCAGGTGGCTTTACCAATAATATAAGTAATTATGCTATGTGAGATTATGGTAGAAATAAGTGCACATTTTCTATGAATTCTCACTATGTGGATAATATGAATAAACATAATGCTGACAAACTACTCAACAGTGAAGTCGAGTTAACGGATATGCTGGAGAAAATGTGTCCCATGAAACAGATTTTATTGAAAGGTGTACCATGTGAAGTGTTTTGAACACTATGGTGTACTGATATTTTCGCTGATAAAGGATAAACTACTCATAATTGAGGGACTTCAGTTTCACACAGCAGTATTTATGAAGATGGCTGTCTTCCGGTTTGTAGCATTCCTCCTGGTGGGGTTTGTGTAAAAAGCAAGCAGGGGCAGAGCCACTAGCAAAATTCATGTCTGCCATTACAACTTTCAAATCTAAAATTAAAAATACCTTACAACGTTGTATTTTCTTTGTAGTGGAAGATGAAGTTACAGTCGGCAAGTTCTATGCAACTTTTCTAATACAGGATTACTTCAGGCGATTTAAAAAACGAAAAGAACAGGAACTCAAAGATGGCGATAAGGAGTCGCACAACACGGTGACATTACAGGTAAGTGAAGCCATGATGGCCCTGTTTCTGAATGTTACTGCTTGGAACTCTTTAAAATATCTGAGTAAGTTCTGAGTGGACAAGATTAATATTGCTTCTGTGTAAAATATTCCAATCTGATGCAGTTGTGTGTAACAGTGAAGTGGTTATAATAGCGAAGATTTCTGTTGTTGCGCTGTGTTGTCTGTGTTTGTTTTTCTTGAAGATATCCGTCTTCTGGGTTATTGCGCTGTGTAGTCTGGTCGATGTT